AACTGGTACAAAGACAGAGAAAATGATCACTCGGGGGCCCACCCGTTAAAAAAAAATCATGTATCCAGGGAAAACTTGGTTACGGGCTGTGGGGTGGGCAGTTAGTGCACAGGCTGGGACCAAGTCAGACAAAAATCCTGTGCCAGGCACACTAAAACAAGCGCCGGTTCAAACCCCTAACACACAAATATCGGCAAACTTTGCAGGTTAAATCACTGCCCAGGTAGCATCAGTCAGCAGGGAGTCCTCTGATAGATGTGCCACCAATCAACAAGGTACACAAAGAAGAAAGATTTCAACACTTCTCCTGCTCACCTCAAGATAAAGATACAGGGAGGGAGATGGGACAGATGTCTTAATAACATTGATCCAAAAATCTATGGGGTCTTTTGTTTTTCTTCTTGTTTTTGTCACATAAAGAATGTATCCATGCATTAAGGATGTTTTTGCTGTGATTCAAAATAAAGTTATATTTTTGAAAAAGAATGTCTTATTTCTTTGAGACATACATTTGAAGTAGATACAAATTAAAGTATACGAAGTGCAAGTTTGTTTTAGAATAATTTATCAAAGTGGGAGGGGGTGAGTACATATGAAACAAAATTGAGGAAGTTGGTAATGGCCGAAGGTAGGAAATGAGTTTATTAACTCCTTTATTTTGTGTATGCTTAAAATTTCCCACGATAAAATGTTTTAATGTAGCTATAGAACTATAGAGGAAGGAATATGTCTTCAAAAACAACCCTTCTGCTAATAGAAGGGTCACTAATAGTACTAATGATACTCTGCTAATAGATTATCAATTTTTTTTTACTATATTTATTCCCTTGCTTCAGACTCATCTGTTTCTGTGTTCATCATTCATTTTAGGCAAGATTTCTCCATCTCAGAACTATGGACATTTGGAGTCAGATCATTCTCTGCTAGGGGGTTGTTCTGTACACAGCAGAATGTTTAGCAGCGTCCCTGGACTCCACCTACCAGATGCCAGGAGCACACTTGTTCCTTAACCCCTATTTGTGACAATCAAAAACATCTACAGACATTGCCAAAGGCCCAAGGGTAGGGGGACACTCAAAATCACTTAGACCTGAGCCGTCAAATGAGACCGAATGCCTCAAGGAGCATTTTCCATTTTGCGTTCCTGGTGACAGAAACAAGGATTGGTACAAAATAAATGTTGACTAAAAATCTAGTGAATCATTAGGTTGGATACCTTACCAGGAACTATAGGTAAATGAAAGTATAAAGGAAAACAAACATAAAGAAAGCAGTTTGGTGACAAAGGCATCTAGTTTATTCTTTAGGAATTGTATGTTTTAAAAAATCTAACCAATGCAGTTTGTTATAAGTAGAATTATTCTTAAGAATTAATTCTTAAATTATATGTTAAACAATTATATATGTTTATATTTTGTTAAATACGTATATTTATATTTTGTTATTACATATTTATATTTAGTTAATGATAAATTATATGTATGATCTTTTTTGAGACAAGGTCTTGCTGTGTCTCCCAGGCTGAAGTGCAGAGATGGGACCATAGCTCACTGCAGCCTCCAACTCCTGGGCTCAAGTGATCATCTTGCATCAGCCTCCCAAATAGCTGGGACTACAGGCACTGCCATGCCTGGATAATTTCTTTCTCTATTTTTGCAGAGATGGAGGTCTTGTTATGTTGCCCAGACTGTTACTGAACTCCTGGCTTCAAGCCATCCTCCTGCCTTGGCCTCCCAAAGTCCTAATATTTTATATAAAATGTATATATTACTGCATTTGGCTTGAAGGTTGTTACTCTCAATTATCTAAACTTGAATTAAGTCCAACTGCCTGACAGATGACATTAACATATCATAGTATTTACTTATCCAGCAATCTCAAGTCTCTCAATTCATTCAGGCTGCTCTAACAAAATACCATAAACTGGTGACTTGCAAACAACAGAAATTTCTCACAGTTCTGGAGGCTGGGAAGTCCAAGATCAAGGTGTCAGCAAACTTACTGGCTGGGAAAGAGTCCTCGTTCTGATTGATAGAGGCTGCCTTTTCACCACGTCTCAACACAGAAAGGACCAGGGACCTCTATTAACTGTAATTTTAAAATTAAATATGTTAAATATATATATGTAAAAATTAATTATATATATAATTATATATATATATATTAAAGGCTTTCTACAAGAGCATTAATCCCATTCCTGAAGGCTCCACCCTCATGACCTAATCACCACCCAAAGGATCTACCTCCCGTCATCACATCAGGGGTTAGGATTCAACACATGAGCTTCTATGGACCATAAACATTGAGCTTCTGCATTCTAATACAGAATGGAAAGCATATTGTAAGCAAACAAAAACTTTACACAGCCACAATTAATAATACAAAGTGCACACATTTTTTTTTTCCAGGAACATCCAATATGCCCTCACTCAGAAACAAGTTGCTCTTACTTTACACAAATATACACAAATGTAAATGTATACAGACACACACACAAATCTAACAAGGTTAGCTATTTCTTTCTTATTAGAAAATCAAATGAGAGAGGGAGCAGAAACAAATGCACTAAAAGCAGCAAGAAGTAATATTTGGTACTCAAACACCAAGAAACAGAAAAAAAGCAATATAAGTACTCAACAAAAACAGCATCCACAGCAACACTAAAAACCCGGTGTGCTGTAAAGTCATGACAGTTATTGAACATATCTTCGTATCTTTTGAATAACACAATACATTCTGTTCAATGACCATTATTTTGTTAGAACAGAACAGAAGGGCCCCGGTGAGCATCTGTGGAACAAATGTCAGTGACAATGGCAACTCTGAGTCCACAAGAAGAAGTGAAACTGTCCAGTTCATTACCATTAACAAAGGCATGGGAGCAGGAGAACTATTCAGACATACCCCACCCCAAAAAAGTTTTAAAGAAGAGTTTTCTTCTCAAGGTGATGGGAAATTTTATGTGAAAACCACCTTTTCTAGGAATGTTGTCAAAATGAAATATTATTGGGCTTTATTCTAGAAATGTGAAGTTAGTTAACATTTAGAAATCAATCAGTGTGGCCAGGCATGGTGGCTCATGCCTGTAAATCCCGGCACTTTGGGAGGCTGAGGCTGGATCACCTGAGGTCAGGAGTTCAAGACCAGCCTCCCCAGAATGGTGAAACCCCATTCAACTAAAACTACAAAAATTAGCCAGGTGTCGTGGGGGGTTGCACCTGTAGTCCCAGCTACTCAGAAGACTGAGGCAGGAGAATTGCTTGAACCCAGGAGGCGGAGGCTACAGTTAATTGAGATCTCACCATTGCACTCCAGCCTCGGTGACAGAGCGATACTCTGACTCAAAAAATAAAATAAAATAAAAATAAGAATCAATCAATGTAATTCATCTTATTAATAAAAGAGAAGAACCATATATATGGTCTTCTAGGTAATATTGAAAAAGTGTTTTATATAATTTGAGATCAGGTCATAAATAAGCAAAAACTCATTAAACTGGGAATGGGTACAGTATATTTACAAAGGAATCTAGAAAAACATCATGTTGTTTAATGGTGAAATGTTGAACGTTTTCCCTGTCAATTAGGGAATAAGAAAAGGAAATCCATGGTCACCTTTCTCTCTCTCTCGTTTTTTTTAAACAGGGTCTTGCTCTGACGCCCTGGCTAGAGTGCAGTGGTGTGATCACAACTCACTACAGCCTCCACCTCCCGGAGGTGACAGCTTGCAAACGTTCGCGAAACAACAAAAGACTAGATATAAAAATTCTACTTTGGGATATTTTTAAATTCTTAAATTGATCTTACAATGAGTATACTTACTCTCATTACAAATATATATCGATAACTGATCCTTAAAATCACAAATAAGCACCAAACAGATTGTGTTGCTTTTCTGCCTTTTAGGGTGGGTAGAGCAGCAAGCTTTCCTGAGAATATGAAGGAGTCTTTAATCGAAGGTGCTAGGTTCAAGGCACCATCTACTATGATTTGGAATCACAGGAACGTGGGTATACAAATAGAACCAAGGTCCAGAAAACGTGCCCGGGTCCAAAAAAGGGGGAGGCTCTTTGCAAGTCAAAGATAAAGGAGAAAGTAGCATCATCTCCGACTGCTGACCCTGAGTATCCAGCTACAGCATCACAGCAACTTGTGGGATTAGCTCCTAAAACAGAAGTAGACTTGTCCTGACAGTCTGGCAAAGTTCTTACTAACTAGAGAAGCCACAAGTAACACTAAACTGTATTTTATTAAAGTGACAGCTATAGAAACAAATATCTAAATGTTTTAATATATATTTTACCTGTCAGGTAAATTACTGTAATTGGCACAAGCTTGATTTAATTAGCTAATCATAAGTCCTAAGTTTATTTACCCAAATTCAGCTCATCTTACACAGGTTCTTGGACCACATGCTTAGTGTTCCAATAATGGAACACCAAGCATAAGCGGGTTAACAGAATCATGAAAGCATAGCTATTCAAGTAATATGCAACTAATTTTTTTCCATTTATCCCAAAACTCTGGCCAAGCTGCTTTCGTTGCCACCACCTACCACAGTGAGGCGAGCCACAGTGGAAAACGCTGCAGTCTCCAGCATGTGGTAGGTGACACTTCCTTTGCGTTCTCTAAGCCAGCCATGGAGCACTTGGTCCAGCAGACACGGAACAGCCTGGAATGGGCTGACGCCTCCGCAGCATACGTTACATACTAAAGTTATGGGAATGTGGTTCCTGGACTCCATGTTTGGATTGGGTGAGAGAAAACCTCTAGACCTACTCTGATTGGACTTTATTTTCATGCTCTGATTGGTTGTCCTAAGACTTGCTTTCATCCAATCCGAATATGATAATAAAGTACAATCAGAGTAGGCCTAGAAGTTTTCTCTGATCCAATCAGACCATGTAACCCAGAAACCTCATTTGCATAAAACAGGATATAAATAATGCTGAAATCAGGCCATTCCAGGCTCTTCTGTGTCTTCCGGACCAGCTGCTCCATTCCCGGCTTAGAGGACCATGAGATGGGGGAGCTTGCCACACGCTGGAGGCTGGAGCCTGCCCCACTGCGGCTCCCCTCGCTGTGGTTGGTGATGGTGATGGTGATGGAGACTGCAGCAGAGACTGCTGTGGTAGGAGTGGGTGAAATAGTTTTGGGGTAGATGGAGGAGTGAAGAGGGTGGTGAGTGCCAAAGGGAAAAGAGGATGGCCAGGTGAGCAGGAAAAGGCTTTGTAAAAAGACAGTGGGGAACAGATGGTGGGAAAAACGTGGGTAGATGAAGGTGGTAAAACAGGGTAGCAAACAGGAGGAAGAGAACGTTTTGCAAAAAGATGGTAGGGAAAAGGTGGTGAGTAAAAAGTTTTGGGGGAGATGGAAGGGGAAAAGTGGATGGCAAGTGGGAGGAGGAAAGGGAGGATGGTGAGGGCGGGAAATGGGAGTGAACAGGAGGGAGAGAAGGTTAGCAAAAAGATGGTGGGGTAAAACACAGTGGGAAGAAAAGAAAGATGGTGGGGAAAAAGACTGTGGGTAGATGGAGGGGGAAAACGAGGGTGGCAAGTGGGAGGAGAAAAGTGGGTGCTGAGAGGGAGGGGGAAGAGGGAGGGGGAAGAGGGTGGTGGGCAGGAGAAAGAGAAGGTTTTGTGAAAAGATGGTGGAGAGAAAAGACAGTAGGGAGAAAAGTTTTGGGGTAGATGGAGGGGGAAAAGGGTGGTGAGCGGGAGAGTAGAGAAGGTGTTGCAAAAAGACAGTGGGGAAAAATGATGGGGAAAAAGTTTTGGGGTCAATGAAGAAAAGAGTGGTGACAGGGAGGGAGCCAAAGGCAGTTTGGAAAAGAATGTGGGGAAATAATGGTGGAGGACAAAGGTTTTGGGTAGATCCTTTTCTGATTTTTAAATCAGATTATATGTATTTTTGCTTTTGAGTAGTTTGCATTCTTTATCTATTTTGTGTGTTAACCCCTTGCCTGATGCATAGTTTTTAAGTACTTTCCTTATATTCTCTAGACTGCTGATTGCTTTCTCTGCTTTGCAGAAGCTTTTTAGTTTAATGCAATTCCATTCGTCCATTTTTGCTTTTGCTGCTTGTGCTTTTGATGCCTATTTAAAAATTCCTTGTCCTAACCAATTTCATGAAGCATTTATTCTATTTTTTTCTTTTTTAGTACTTTCATAGTTTAAGGGCCTACATTGAAATCTTTATTTTTGAGTTGATTTTTGTATACAGTAAGATAACAGTCTAGACTTATTCTTGTACATGTGGGTGTTGGGTTTTCCTAGCACAGTTTATTGAAGAGATTGTCCTTCCCAAATGTGTGTTCTTGGTGCCTTTGTTAAAAACGAGTTGACTTTAAATTTGTGAATTTATTTCTGAGTTCTCTATTCTGTTTCATTATTTTGTGTCTGTCATTCACCTACGTCTGTCTGTCTCTTTTTGCCAGTACTATGTTATTTTGGTTACTATAGATTTGTAGTATATTTTGAAATCAGGTAGTGTGATGCCTCCAGCTTTTTTCTTTTTATTCAAAATTATTTTATCTATCTCAAGTATTTTGCATTTCCATGTGAATTTTAGGATTTTTTTTTTTCTATTTCTGTGAAGAATGTCTTTTGTAATATAACATGGAATGGATGGATTCTGTAGATCACATTGGGTGATACAGATACTTTAACAATATTCTTCTAGTGCATGGACATGGAATATCTTTGCATTGTGTCTGTTTTAATATCTTTCATCTATGTTTGATAGTTTTCGTTGTGGAATCTTTCGCCTTTTTGGTTGTTTGTCCCTAGGTATCATTTTTTTTTTGTAATGAAATAGCTTTCTTGATTTCTTTCATAGGTGTTTCACTACTAGTGCAAGGGTATGCTACTCATTTTTGTATATTGATATTGTATCTTGCAACTTTACTAAATTTATTATTTCTAGTAGGTTTTTGGTGGAATTTTTAGGGCTCTTTGTATACGATCATGCCACCTGCAAACAGAGACAATTTGACTTCCTTTTTTATCCAATTTGGATGCTTTTTATTGCATTCTCCTGTCTAACTGCTGTAGCTAGGACTTCCACTACTATGATGAATAAAAGTGGTAGAAGGAATCACATTGTTCCAGGTCTTAGAGGAAGAGCTTTTAACCTTTCTGCATTTATTATGATGTTAGCTGTGCATTTACCGTTTATGGTCTTTATTATATTATGCTGAGATATGTTTCTTCTGTGCTCATTTTGCTGAGGTTTTATCATAAAGGAATGTTGAATTTTATTTTTTCAGCATCTACTGAAATGATTATATGGTTGTTTTTCTGTTTTTTGTTTGTTTGTTTTTGAAATGGGGTCTCACTCTGTTGCCCAGGCTTGAGTGCAGTGGTGCTATCTCAGCTCATTGCAACCTCCACCCCCAACCCCCAAGCCCCAACCTTACGTTCAAGTGATTCTCCTGCCTCAACCTCCCAAGTAACTGGGATTACACTGCCACCACGGTGGCCCGGCTACTTTTTGTGTTTTTAGTGGAGGCAGGGTTTCATCATGTTGACCAGGAGGATTTCAAACTCCTGATGTCTGATGATCCACCTCCTTCACCTCCCAAAGTGCTGGGATTACAGGCACGAGCCGCCATTCTTGGTGTTTTTTGGTTGTTGTTGTTTTGTTTTGTTTTGTTTTTAAAGATAGGGTCTTGCTCTGTAACCTACACTGGAAGGAAGTGGCGAAATCATAGCTCACTGAAACCTCGAGTTCCTTGGCTCAAGTGATCCTCCCATCTCAGCCTTCTGAGTAGATAGAAAAGATACCAGATATTTAGGAATCTAAAAAATGTATGCACAACTTCTATGAGAAATTTCTTAAATTTTGAGAGTTAATAAGATAGACTGTTAAAATATTAATAGTTTGGGGAAACAATATTATGCCTTCTCTCTCTAAATTATACATTCATTGCAATTCCAATCAAAATCCTTGCTTTGTAAAGCTCAGCATTTTGACTGTAAAAGGTATATGAAATTCTTTCCTCCTTTCTCTTCTTGAACATTTCAGCTCACAAGTATGGGGACAAAACAGGGAATTGTGTTGACCTAGAGTTAGGAATTGTGGCTTGAATGAAATGTGAAGGGCCTAAGTGACAGAGTGTCACCCTGAACAATGCTGGAAGACAGTTGAGAGCATTCCTGCAAGGTAGACAAAAGAAATGAGGTATCAAAGACTGAACAATATCAGGAGCCACCCACGGATGGAACATGGATCTTCAGCATCTTAGGGAGGTAAGGATAAATCATCTGCCTAAGAGGGCAGCCTGGCACAGGGTGTTTGAGGAAGGATGGGGTGAAGATGGCATCCATTTGGAAGGAAGAGTGGTGGAGGCAACCAAAGAAAGGTACAAGAGTCCCAAGTGGGAGTGAAGAGTGCACCTGTGTAGGGGCAGAGACACAAGAGATTGGTTACACACAGGAGATGAAATGAATAAATACAGCAAGTCTTGGAATAATGTCATTTCGTTATAACGTTGAAAGAAAAATATATATACTGGCGAAAGCCACTGTGTGTATGGAGTTTACACATTTTCCCCATGTCTGCCTGGTACTCTGGTTTCTCCAGGTACTCTGGTTTCCTCCCACATCCCAAAGCTGGGCACATTAGGTTAACTGACATGTCTAAATGGTCCCAGTCTGAGTGAGTGTGGGTGTGTGTGCGAGTGTACCATGCAATAGCATGTCTAGAGTTGGTTCCCACCTGGGGCTCTGAGCTACTGGGTAGATTCCAGTCATCTGCCACCCTCAACTGGAATAAGCATGTTAGACAAGGAACAAATGAATGAATGCAAATGACAAAGGCTAACATAGTTGTTTGCAGTATAAGTTTTTTAAAAACTGTTTGTAATTCAATTAAGTTAGGGCTCAAGCCAATGTCTTAAAAGCTTTGCTTTAGATAACTAACATGGGAAGTTTCAATAGTTCTAAGGGATATTTGATATTTTAAGAAGGTATTATAATTTTGAAATTCCATAAATTAACATTGTTACGTTACTATTAACTAGACTCCAGACCTTAATTCCAATTTCAACATTTTTTGAAAATGTTGTGCAATTGGCTACCAATAGATGTATTTTACAAAAATTGAAACTAAAATGCTGTAGGAGACAATCACAGTTAAGGATGTACTGTTAGGTAAGGAAATGACAATATTTTAACTTAAAAAAATCTATTTGTGCTATATGTTTAGTTAATTCTTAAAAGTATTTATTTTGGATTCCTTTTAATAATAGACATGTGTATGTGGTTAAGTGTTTGGATGTCAGTCATTCACTTATGATTGGGATGGAAAACTGAAGCTGCCACTGGAAAATATTAAAAATGTTATGAACCAAAGTAAAATCAATTAGAAAGCCAAAGCATGTAAAAGTCTGTCTTTAGTTACTAAGCAGTAGTATTCTATTTCTAAAATTTAACTTTAATGCAGCTTTTAAAGAAATTAAAAATGTGTCAGTTACAATAAATGTTACATTTACTGAATAAAGTTAACAAATGTTTATCTCTTGAAAACGAGAGCTCCAGGGACTGAAAAAAACTATAAAACTTCTATCTCCTTTCTTTATCAATACAAATTTTTATAACTTTTACTCACCATGCCTAAATGAATTAAACAACTCAATATTTCCCCAAATTAAAAACAAGAATTATATCATAAATATGAAATGCAAAGGAAAAAAGTAATATAACTAATCTTGAATAAGTAGCCCTTTACGCCATTTTTTGAAGTCATTAGGCTTGAGGTAGGGATGACTAAGTCTTCCCTTGGTATAACTTTTCTCTTAAGACCTAACCTATTATTAAGATTTCCAGGTCAGGTGTGGTGGCTCACACCTGTAATCCCAGCACTTTTGGGAAGCTGAGGTGGGTGGATTGCTTGAACTCAGGAGTTCAAGACCAGTCTGGGCATCATGGTGAAACCTCGTCCCTACCAAACATGCAAAAACTAGCTGAACATGGTGGCACACACCTGTGGTCCCCACTACTCAGGAGGCTGAAGTGGGAGAATCACTGGAACCCGGGAAGTCAAGGCTGCAGTGAGCTGAGATTGAGCCACTGCACTCCAGCCTGGGTGACAGAGCGAGACCCTTTCTAAGAAAACAAAAACAAAAATAAA